AGTAAATGTGTACTTCTGCACATAGATTTTATGACTGCTCCAAAATGGTATTTTTCAGCACTATTCTACCCTATGATAGTTCCAGAGTTTGGAGCATAGGAAGTTTGTACATATAGTTATTTATCTAAAAGCACTTGTACCTTGGTTGATCTGTCCCCAATATGTACATTTTGATTCCCAAATTGACCAAGTATGTGATTCCTCTGTACTGCATGTGGCTTTAAATAAAATAGTAGTCATTTGAATTTTTGGATTCTGTTTAGTTTCAAAATATGAGAGTGTGTAGTAACTGTAAAATTAAAGGTCTGGTAGTATTGTAAGAAGTAGTAACTGATAAAGAAAACTTGGTACATTTGAACTTTCAGGTTTTGTTCTGTTGTAAGAAAATTAAAGTGATCTTTTACATTTTTTTCCCATAGTGATTTTTTTTCAATCTTAACTCCAATTTCAGTGTTTGTCTGGGAATATGCTTGAGGCATTTTTGAAAAGTTTGGAATTATTCAGTGAGAGGAGTCAGTGAACTGTGCAGGAGCTTGTGAACTGTGCAGGTTCTTACGTGTCTTCTTATGTGTCTCTGTCCCTTTTGCTCGCTTCCAGGTGAACCCTTTATACCCTATGTGATGTGCTCATGCCTGCTCACCTAAAACCACACCTTGGTGTGGTTCCTTACTATCGTAGCCTGATGTCTTGGTCCCATGTGAATTTTAAGCTCCCTACCTCAGGCACTGTGGCCATGTGCATTTACAAAGTGTATATTGGGGTCATGTGCATCTTACATGGGGGAAATTATATCCCTCTTCTCGGGCTAGAGAGGGCCCTTGAACAGCAGAAGAGGAGCAGTTTCACCACACCAGGGAGGTAAAATTTGGGTACACCATGCTGGGGTGCACATCACCTGTATGGCTCAGAGTTCTACTCTTTTGTGGGGTGAGGCAGGAGAATCTTCTGCTGTGCACATGCTCTGGTCCTTCACCTATGCCAGCCATTAGGCTTAATTAGCAGTAACAAAGCAGCACCGTTTTCACTCCATGGACTGGGGAATGGATTCCTTCCCTTTCCCCAATGGAGTGTCCCAGTGCACAACTAGATTAGTTAGACTGGGCACTGTGAAAAGATTTTAGCTAGAGAGTTCATTAGGGTCATGATCACCTCACAAAATATGCAGGAACTATTGCTTATCTTATGTACTCCCCATTCTTCTTTAGCACCACTGGACTTCTCAGTTTTAGTAGTGCTCCCCTGTGACCAGCTTCACAAGAGTTCTACTCATAAACTCTGTGTGACTTAAGCTTTTCCCTTGGGTAGCCACCAAACTCCACTGGAGTTCCTGTGGAGTTTCAGAGTTCTTCTGGAAAAAATCTGGACTCCTGTGGAGTTTTGAAAACTGGGTGGTAGGCAACAGGAATCAGGAGAGACTATACAAGGAGGGAAGCATGGGGGAATGGAACAGCCATTGAGATTATGCCAAAGCTTTTGGAGAACATTTCAAAGTCTGTAAGACCTCCTGCAAACTTTCCAAAAGCCATCAGGACCTGCAGCACACCTTAGAAGTACTATTGATCATTTTGTCATACTCAATTCACTAGTGAACAACTCCCCAAATATGCCTTTCTCCATCTCAGAATAGGTCCTGTACCCTAGATCTTGCCAAGATTCACTGAAAAGCTCATTTAAAGTTTCTAGACAACTCATTTTGCAGACAAAAAAACTTACAGAAGTTTTCAAAACTTTAGAATGACCTATTTTTTCCACATCATATTTCTCGAAGATAGCTTGTTTGAAATCAGCTCCAATTTTATAAAAATATAATAATAGTAATAATGAGCCAGAGACCATACATTTGACACCAAAAAGAACTTTCTTGAAGGTTTCAGAAAAGGTGCCAAAACCAGGCATATTATAGAAGCTAGTCTCAGCTTTAGCTCTGGAGAAACTTCTGACATCTCCATATCAATAGCTTTATTTTTTTACTTTAATTGTTTTTATTGCAGCAGCCACGGAAGCCTTTTATCTGTACCCTAGGGCAATTGATTCTGTGCTTCCCCCTCAAAGATAATTGGCACTTTGCATTGCCTTCTCTCATGTTTCATGCTTTGCAATAGCATGTATACACTCATCCTTTTTCACCAGTTCTGTTCATTCTCTTCAATTTTCATTGCAGTAGCACCTGAAGTTAGAGGTAATAGATACACTTCCCCTTATCTTGTGAGGATCATGATGCTATTTCCCTGTGCACTATGCTCTTGCTTATAGGTGAGTGCTAGGTAATGTCAGTTAAGTCAACAAAATATATGTGCACAAATCATATAAATATGTATTCACTTTCTATGAGCAAATATGTATCTATGCATTCATAACAATTGTTACATGAACTCAGATGCCCATTTGAAACTATGGTCCTGAAACTGTGGGCTAAGACCTATGATCCTACAAATTTAATCTCTACCAGAATCAGTCCTGCTTAACAAATGAAGTGGGAAGTGCCATATTAAACCTGCTTTCTCACCTTGACAAAATGGCCTGCAGGAAAGTGTTGGTACGTAACGTTTGATTTTACTATTAGTGAATTGAGTCCTTTTGAAAGCTACTGTACTGACAGCCCTGGAAACTAAAGTCCTTGGTTTATTTATCTAATTGTTAGAGCCTGGGCTGTCAGCAATGAAAGCTTCCTCAAATGTGCCCTGCCTGCTACCCCTTGGTGATGTTTCAACCCTGCCATGGCACAAAAACACAGTTCAGTTTTCATGTTCATTCAAACCCTGGTCCTTTTACTGAGACAGCCAACAAGGTTGTCAATTCGTGCTAATGGTGATTAGTTTTGTGATGTGGACTACTGTCCACTAGGAACTAGACCAAGCCCACCATCTGATTTTATGTAGATTGCCAAACAACTGAGAGATGGTAACAAAATTTAGTCGTTACCAACCTGATTCAGAGTGACAATTTAGAGGTGTTCATACTGTTAAGCCATCCAGTCCCCTATTAATATATATTTCTACCTCAGCATACCAGTAACAGGAGGTCTACTTATTTATAACTACTAAAGTGTGAAGTTGCTTTTTTGAGAGCCATAGATATGCCTTCCCTTTATTTGTGCATATACTGTAAGTTTACACATCATTTTACAAACATAGGCAAATTCTGCTCTCCATTGCACTAGTGTATCCAGAGTAACTCTTCTGAAGGTGCTGGAGTGAGAGGTACTCCAGATATACCAGTGTATGAGTAGTCAGAATTTGTCACAATGGCCTTTTCTACACTGGGAATTTTCAACAGTTCAAGCATCACTGCTGCTCCACCAGTGCTAGCAATGGTGGATGCGCTAGTGAACATGAGAGCCTATATTAATGTTCCCACCATTGCTAGTGCTGGGGGAACTCTACCAGTGCTAGACCAATGCTGGGAGAATTGCTAGTGCCTCAGTGTAGACTTAATGATATACCCTGCTGTGAGCAGATTACAGTCTAAGAATTAGATTGCTTTTGAATTAGAGCATATTTTTAACTTCAGATCCTATAATGCACCTTCCTTAGTGGACAACCAGTTAAAAACACTTTATGTTTTACGTTACTGATATTCATTTTTTGTTGACTGTGGCAAATTCTTACTTAGGAATCAAAACACTGTTAACCAATTACTGTTAATAAAAAGCGAAAAGGTGCTATTTCTGTTAGGGATATAAAGTAGGTACTGTATTTGGCCCCCAGACTGCATTTTCTGTCAGCAAAAGACCACCAATAAAATGGGACTTCTTACAAATAATCCTACAGATATGAGGAACTGTAAAAGCAACAATGATGTCTGATTCCTAAGGAAGCTTAGGAAATGAAGCAATCAAATCCACATAAGAAAGCATCATTACAGCAGTTTCTACAAGGTATTAATGGGACTGCTCACCCAAGCAGGATTTGGCCTCACTTGTAAACTCTAAAATTTGGCATGTGGGTGAGCGGGTTAATATGTTTAGGCTTGAAATTAATCTGATCACAATTTTTTTTTATTATATAACCAAAATCTACTTGCTCCATAATAGAAGGAATTGTTTTATTCAGTGCAAGATGATATTGTTTAGATAGCGAAGTTCCAGTTAAGAAAAATAACAATTATGAATAATGATAAAATATTTCTATATGGAACACTTTTTGGTGAAAATTCATTGTCTTCAGATAAAAAGTCTTTCCATCAAATCAATCTTTTATGTAGCTAAAAATATTTTAAAAGATTTTTAAATTTTGGCACATTCTAAATCCAGCAATGCTCATTTTGCGGGCCAGACTCCCTCCGATTGAAGTCAATGGAAGCTGAAAAGTTTGAGCATGCTATTTGATCTACTGAATTTCCACCATGTATAAAAACAATGTCTAATCAGGCACCTTGAGCAGGTAGAACTCTTATTGCCTCTCAGATTATATCTGAAAGATGCAAGTGTAAGAATAAGAGTAATTGAGAAAGCATGACCTTGGATTTAGGTTTGTGTTTTATTTTATATTCGTCAAGGGAAAACACAAAAGGTTAAGACTCTGGGTTCTGATCTCTGATATTTGGCTTGTCTGAGAAGCAAATGACCCTATAATTAATATTGGGGACTTCTGTTTCTCATTTCAACATGTTAATTGTATGGGTTAGTGGAAAGTGACATTCTGGGGCATTGTATTGCAACTGCTTTTTGGCAGAAACAGATTTTGTTTGATTATTCAGTCCTTTTGATTCTGTTATAGTACAGTTGATTCTTAAACAGAGGAATTAATAAAACAGCTGAATTAATGTCCTTCACCGAAATGATTCACCTCTTTGAACACTAGAATAACTAAAATTATACTTTCTCCAAAACTTCAACATACACTTTCATAGCCAAAAATGCTCCAAGCCAGCAAGTTATTATCAGTGGAGAAGAATTTGGGATCTCTTTCAGAATGCTAATTGCTGAGGCCAAGTGACATTTTCTAAGGCTGTCAAATGCAATGGAGAAACAGAATATCCCTATTGATCAAATTACTCACCAACAATGACACCAGTGACGGTGAAGAGCACAAAGGCATTCCTCACTAGGTAACCTTTAACATCATCCTTAGTTATGCTCTGCACCTTCTTTTTTGCCAGGAGTGTACGTTTCCGTACTCCTTGCTGAAAGCGCTCCATCCTATTTCCAGATCTTGGATCTTCTCCGTTACTTTTAGTCATCTATATTTTGAAAAGTGATTTCTTCTTTTATAATTTACTGCTGTTAAAATCTCCCCAGAAAGACAGAAGACCTTCTTCCTTGGGAAGTGCAGGAGGAAGCTAGAAGACAAGATATGTCAAATGTCACAACAAGTTAAACTTCAGAGGAATGATTAGTCATATCTGCACATGCAGGCAAATACTCATCATATAACAATCAGACTTGGATTATTTAGATTAATTAATTGATTGCAGTATGTGGTAAATAAGTGCAACGTTTGGTGGAACCCTGATTTGAAAATACAGATTTTGTTCAGATCTGTATTTCTGCATCTGCAGGGAATGGGCCTGATTCTTCTTTCACGCTGGCATAAATGGGGAGTAACTTCACTGCAGTCAATGGAGTTACAATAATATAAAATGGATGTCACAGGAGAATCAGCTGCTGTATATCTATAACTATTGATCAAGCCTCATTTTCATGTATTTAGCAGGCACACATTTATCTGAACAGAATCTGCCTATCCCACCTTTCCAATGAAACTTCTGATAAATAATATCTTTTTAAATCATAGCATTCAGAATATTATGTATTTCAGATGTTTCTAGATAATTTTAATGCTTTGTCCTGCATTGATTTCTCTCCTGTTATATTGCAAAACACAGCAGGAATAGTTTCTCTCTTTACTTACTACTCAGGAGGTATGTCTTTGATAGTAACATTCATCTTTGAAGTGTGTAAGCTACTCTGAACACATCTGTAAAACATCAGAAGATGTAACCCAGTTTGCTTGTTACTTCATGTTTATTACAAGTTCACACTACAAGATAATGCTTTGCATTGACTGGCAAAGCATTGATATGATCTGATAAAAATCACACTACAGATTTGGCTTTAAGATTTTTTTTTTAAAGCTTTCATTAAAATAGTTGGGACATGTTCGCAAGATAATCTACTTTTCATTTCAAACACACTGTAACTTTTTTGACTATTTGCAAAATAGTTTTGTACAGATTTAATTACAGAATAAATTAATTTCAAAGTGGGAATCTGCTTTTCCATAATGTTGGATAACACAACTATGCCTGCTATCTATTCCAGTATTTCTCTGGTAGGGTCACAAATTCATGAATGGATATAGCTGGCTGCACCACTGAAATCCATTCTCAATTATATAGATCATTTATGTCTTTCTGCCCTGCTACATCGATTGCCTAATGAGCTTTGCAGAAAGCATTTAGAAAGTTCAGATTTTAGAAGAAGGATGATTGAAGGGGCTATCATGTTATTTAAAAAGGCAAGAAAATGTTTTTGATGGGATTTGGTCTTGCTTTTGAAGTTAAATATATATTTAAAACTAATATGTTAATATACTGTTCTCCCTGCATTTTAATACATTGTAATATATTTTTTAACAAGATTGTCTATACACACACATTTCCCATTCCCCCTTTCCTGTCTCCCCTCTCTCCTTTTTTTTTTTTTAACAAATGTATATTTTAAATTGGAAAAAGCTATAATAGTTAATTAGTCTTTTCTTAATTGGCTGCAGAGTAGGGGAAAAGTTCTTAGGCTGAGCTAAATTTATTGTGTATGGTATTTTTGATCTTGGAGGCATGACTGCTGTGTGTTTGAAAGATTTTTCTTAGGAAAATTAGTTTGGAGTATTTTGTAACAAGCTTATAGATTCACCCAACCCCCTTTCCCCCCATTTAACACAATATCACCCCAATCTGTGCTTTATAAGTAAGATTAAGATCAAGAAAGAACATTCAGTATACCCCCAAAGCATCATTATATCAAATGACCTAGAAAAGTATTTTACAAAGGAAGAGAATGAAAAGCAAAAAACACCAATAAAGTAAACAAGCTCACCTTTTCAAATTCTGCAATGTTCCCAGCACAAAAGGCAAGCAACAAGGTAAATTTCCCAGTAGGTACAAAAAAGATGAAACATTCAGTGAGCAAGAGAAGGAGAAGACTGACAATATGCATGTGCTCCGGATACTGCAACTTACTATCACTGCAATTTAAGAAAAGGGGAGGAGACTATTAATCCAACTCTGGAAAAAAATAAAAAACACAACTGAAGGGGGTGGGGGGGGAAGCTGAGCTTCTGGAATATTGATTAATCTTGGCACAGTGAAAACAGGGTTGCTTTCTTTGTTTTTCCCCTTTAGACCACTTTCACGCTTTGTCAGTTCAGCTTCATTAGAAATGCAAAATCAGGACTCAGGAAGAATTGAAGAATGACACACAACACAGAAGGCTGGAAGTCTTTGTGATTAGAGATTCCAAACCAGGAGTCTGTAAAAGTTAAACATAATTATATAACATTATTCCACTACCTTTTAAAAAAAAACCAACGGTGAAATATCTGAGGATGTTAGTCTACTATAAGTGTTTTGATTTCTGGTTCCAAAGTGTTTTCTAATCCTTAATGACACTTATTTAAGGAAGCATCTTTCTGTAAGGTGGGAAACAGCTTTACATTTCTCAGGAGTACCTGGAACACTATCAAGAATCGATCAGAATATGATGAGACATAGTTCTTTGTAATTTTCTTGTTACTCAAAAAGCAAGATGAGACTTGTCTGTAGTTCAGTAATTTAAACTCTTTTAGAGTCAACCCAGTTCAGAAAAGATTGTCTCAACAGCACAGTGTGACTAATAAAGGAAAAAGTACAAAACATCCAGCTTTTCCTAAAAAATAAGTGGCCCTTTTTGCATTTAAAAGCTTGCACCATTGGAAGAATATTTTGCAATAAATAAATAAAAAAGCAGCATCTTTTACCTTTTCAGAATATGAATTTTGATTTTAAATGCTGGCTGAGTAACTGACAGATGCTGGGTGATAAATCATGTTGTTTAAATACTAGGGTCTTACATTTTAGCATATCTTTCATCAGATTCCTGAGATGTGACTCCCTATTGAGAATTATAGATGAAAAGTGTTAAGTATACTATGTACTAGGTGCTAATATTATTCTTACTATTTCAGAGGACAGGACTTTCAGTTAATAAGCTTTCTGTAAAAAGAAAAAATATTAAATATGTCACAATCATCATACAAACTAGACATAATAAGGATAAATTCAGAGAATAAATTTGATAGGATTAGAATTATTTGCCAAAAATCACACCAATGTTTCTGCTTTCTTATTTAGGGAGTAAGTCTATATTTACCATGTGTACTGTGCCTGGTTTCAGCTGTATTCTAAATAAAATGAGGAGTACATAAAAAGATCTCTATAAATACCAGGTAGAGTCAATGGATAATTACTGTCTACTCTGCTTAACAATGTTGCTTTTAGACAAAGAATATTGGATTAAAGAACAACATTTGTAGTTAATTTAGGTCCAAATTCTGAGTAAAGACTGAAGAATCTGGTACTTAGATATTTAAGATTGAGTAAAGAAAACAAACATCAAAATTGAACTCATTTTGAACTGCCAATGAATTGGATGAATGCATATATAGTTTATTGAATTAAAAATTACCTTATATACTATCTATTTTAATAAAATGAGCAAGTGATTATAGACAGACTGTAATGTTGCAAATTTATTTTCTTTAACTGTACCTGCTATACTTTAAATTCCTGCCTAAGGGTTCCTATTTATCCCATCAATCAACAGAATGGTATTTTTCATGATGCAGTTTTTAAATGCTTTTGCCATTTAGCCTGAAATTGGGATTTGACCTTTTAGCTGACCTGTGGGCCTTAGTGATCTGCTTGTTTGATTTTCCCTTGGAGGCTGGCAAGCTTTCTATGGAACTTCCCAAATAAGGACTTGATCCTGCCCTCATTGAAATCAATGTTAAAGCTCCCATTGAGTTCAGTGGGAGAGGATCAAGTACCAAATCAGGTGATTTGCAAGTATTTCTTCATTTAACTACTTGTAGATATTGTGAGAATGTAGTATTAATACAATTTTTAAAACTGTTCTTTTCTTGTGAAAGGAAATGAATTTAACATTGAAACCTAATGAGAAAATGGACATTGAGCTGTGTCAAAGTTTAGCATTTTAAATTCAACCTATCGTTCCAGTAGTGCTAGAGTTTTTATTGTTTCTGGGGAAAGGTACTTAAAACATGATAATGTTAGACTGAAGTTAATCAACAAAGAGAATATAAGAAAGAGAAGGCAGTGTGTCTTGTGGCTAGAGTAGGGGAATGTGAATTAAGAGACCTGTAATCTATGCCTGTCTATGCCACTAACTCACTGTATGATCTTTACCAAATTACATTAACTTCTTTATGCCTCAATTTCTCTAGCTCTAAAACAGAGATAATACTTATTTCTTTGTCTATGTAGGGTTGTAGTGGCACCCATCACTGAAGTATCTGAGTGCCTTTGTGAAGCACTGTGATGAGAGGTTCTATATAAATATGAAGTATTGTTATTATATCTCTATAGATACATCAAACTATTAAACAGCAACCAAGCCAATCCAGCTGTATAAAACATAAGAGATGGAAATTAAGTAATACATAATAAACTTCAATATGACCATTTTTTGGATGATAATAATAATCATATATGTAACACAGATGAGTGCATTGATCCCAGCTGAAATATGCATTTTAACCATTCTTACGTCTAAGCAAATGATCACTTTGTGTTAATGCTGGGTGAATCTCAAAAGTTCTGAGGTTTAGACACGCTCATGAGCGGCCTATCAAAGTCTTACTCAAATTATCTTTTATCAGAAAACCTGGTATGGAAATCTCATGAGAACTTGTTCTCATATATGGTTTTTGATATGTCCTGCCTTTGATCCAGTGGGACAGAATGCACTTAGCACTCATCCATAGGCCTCAGACAACTTTAGAAATGTGGGTAAGTATCATTATCCCCTACTGTACTGGTGGAGAAACTGAGGTGCAGAGAGTTTACATGACCTGTCCAAGGTGACTTAGTGAGTAAATGGCAGAGCTAGGAGACAGATGAAGGCCTCTAGCTTTGCAGTCTCATCCCCTATCCACTAAATCACGGTCCCTCCCATGTTGTGAGAA